GATTGGTGGTAGAAAGTTGCTGAAAGTGTTAGTTCATATGTTGCTAAAGACCCAAAGCAATGCATGGATGTGCGGGCACTGAGTTACTGACACTTACCAGAACACTTGAAAATTTGCTTTCTCTATTTTGGAGTTTTTCCTGAAGACTATGAGATCCCTGTTTGGAAATTACTCAGATTATGGGTTGCAGAGGGATTTATACAAGAAATAGGACTCGAAGATTTAGAGGATACCGCAGAAGATTATTTGGAGGATCTCGTTGATCGAAATTTAGTCTTAGTGGGGAAGAGGAGGGCTAATGGTCGGATTAAGACTTGTCGCATTCATGATATGCTGCGTGATTTGTGCGTGAGAGAAGGCCAGGATGACAAGTTTTTACGGGTGATAAAATCCTCTGAACAAAATCCTTTTTCATCGACCCCATTCCAGAATCACTGTCGTCGGCTTTGTATCCATTCAAAGATTTTGGAGTTCATTTCTTCAAAGCCTTCAGATCCACATGTCCGCTCTTTCTTGTGTTTTGCTACAGAGGAAAGGGAGTTACCTCGGAAAGATACGTCATCCATATATGACGCCTTTGGATTACTTAGAGTCTTGGATCTTAGATCCATCTGCTTTCCACTCTTCCCCAAAGAGATAGATCACCTGGTTCACTTGAGGTTTATAGTCCTGTTTGGTCAATTTAAAAAAATCCCACCGCAAGTTTCTTCCCTTTGGAATCTGCAAACACTCATTGTTAGAACAACATCTCGTAACCTTGATATTCAAGCAGATATTTGGAAAATGAAACAATTTAGGCATCTTTATGTAACTGGCTTAAGTCGCTTACATGGGCCTCTTGCCCAAACTCGAAAGGACAACGAAGATCCTTTCGTCCGAAGAAACATTCAAACCATTTCTACTATCTTGCCTGATAGCTGCACGGAGAATGTCTTAGCAAGAACTCCCGGTCTGAAGAAGCTTGGAATTCGCGGGAGGTTAGCTAAACTTATGGAGCAAAAGGGAGGATCATGTTTGTTTGATAATCTTTCCAAATTGGACAAACTTGAGACGTTGAAGCTGCTAAATGATACGTATCCTGATCCTCCTGCCCAATGTATAGTTCCAGGTCTTCCACAACATTACAAGTTTCCACCAAACTTGAGGAAATTAACTTTATCCGATACCTTGCTGGACTGGGGGCATATGTCGACACTGGGAGTTCTGCCAAACCTCGAAGTGCTGAAACTAAAAGAGAATGCTTTCAAGGGAAGTCACTGGGAGCCACTAGATGGGGGCTTTCGTCTGCTGAAAGTGCTGCAGATCGGGAGGACTAATTTGGTTCATTGGAATGCATTAGGTCATCACTTCCCAAGACTTCAATCCGTGGTTCTTAAGCATTGTACAAGTCTTGAGGCAATTCCTTCTGGTCTAGGAGAAGTGTCTGTGCTCCATAACATGGAACTATATTGGCCTTCTAAAACTTCTGCTGCTTCTGCCAGAGTAATTCATAAGCAAAAGCTACAATTGCAGTCAAAGCAGCAACAAGTGAACAATTTGTTTAAGCTTGTCATTTATCCGCCAGATATAGATATATAGCTGCGCGCCGCAACATACGTGCTAGTGCTTCCATTACAGGTAAGAAAATGTATTCTTATTCTTATTTTGTTTTCGAAGTTTGTCTACTCTCTTGTTTCTGAAAACTCCTGGGACAAATTCTTCGTACATTTTCTTTTCTATTAGTGGTGTGTATATTTTTGAAAACCTTCACTGATCAAGTAATAATATTTGGGAGATCTGGAATGAGTTAGAAATGACAGAAGTTTCTTTGGAAAAGTTCGCAAATTATTCTTTTAGATGGATCTGTCGAACTTTCCAATGTGCTGCCACATAATGGAGAAGGAAATTAGAAACACTTATAATTTATGTGAAAGGTGTCACTTAGTATGATGCAATTGTGCATTTTACGACCATCATCTTTGTACGATCGGATATTATAAGAAGAAATGAAAAAAATACATGAAAACCACTAGCAGAGAAGTTCTTGAGAACTTAAAAAAAAAATTTATTTGCTCTTGTTTGTGTTTTGCAGGCAGTACTCCTGAGGATGGCAGCGTACCTGTGAAGGACTGCGAGGTTTTAATATGTTTATGTATTCTGAAAAAAAAATAAAAGTGTGTTTTTAATGTGTTGTGTGGAAAATAATTTAATATTTCCAACAATTTTAGAATTTATTCTCTGCGTCTTATTGTATGATATTTATGTGTATGAATGAAGGTTTTCCTACAAAATTTGCTAGAATCTCCACCGTTCAATTGACAATATATATTGTTAAAATTTTCGACTTTACTTCAGTGAGAACTAAATCTTCAATAGACACACTTTCCCCTTCAAGCAGTGATATGAGAAAATCTGCCTTATAAGATAGTCCATATTGGTATAGAGTGGAAATGTCAAAATGAACGGATCGATTTGATGCTATCAAACTGAACAAGCACAGCCTAGAGTCCTGTTCCTGTTGAAATTGACTCGTAACTTTTTATTGTTCGGTCCCAAACCCAACCGCCTAGTTTTCACGTAAATCGGACTGCTCGCTGCTTGAAAAGCAGGCCCGTTCAGTCGAATTTTAAGAGGATTAATGATGCAACTAATGGAATGCACATGTAACGTCTCGTCACATCGTTAACAAATTGTAATAACTTCGATTGCTCAATTAACTGAAAAATGTTTTCAATTGCTCACTAAAATTTAAAAAACTTCTTTGATCGTTCATTGAAGTTTGAGGTGGTCAATTTTGGCAACTAAATTTATAAAAATGATGTCAACCTATTGTTTGGTAAAAAATGTGTACCGCAAGCACACAGATAACTTAAAAATAATAAAGTAGACAAACAAACTCAGGTTGTCAATCCCGCAAAACATGATTACTCTATTACACAATAGTTAAATTTAATTTTATCATATATTTTTTAGAATTTTAAGTTATTTTCATCATTTGAAAAATTCAATGTTTTATACATTTTGTTATTAAAATTATATTGTATTAAAATTTGGATTTTGCAACGACACATAATAAAGTTAATTAAATCGATTGGGTGTTTCGTTACAGAACTTCTAATTTTAATTAAATTTACTATGTGTTTCACTGTAAAAATCATTTAGGGCATGTTTAAGCCCCATTTTTTCTTTCAAAAAATGCATTTTGAAATAATGATTTGATAGAAAATGAGTTTAAAAAATAAGGAAACATTTTGAATTTGCGTGTAATATTATTTTATTGAAAAATGTGTAGTTGAAAATTAGAAAGAAAAATATATTTTAAAAATAATGGGTACCAAACAATGGCTTAATTAAATTTATTGTGTGTTTCGTTGCAAAATCCAAATTTGAATTCAATTTTAACAACGAAACGTAAAATAAATTTGAGTTTTTCAAATGATGAAAATATCTTAAAATTCTACAATATGTTAAAATTAAATTTAACTGTTGTGTAATTGAATAATCATTTCTCGTGGAATTGACATCCCGAACTTATTTGTTCACTTTATTACTTTTACATGGCCCGTGCGGTTGAAAAATGCATTTTTTAACGAACATCAAGCTGACGTCATTTTTATAAGTTTAGTGGCCAAAATTCGATCACCTAATGAACAATTTTACAAAGTTTAGTTGGGAATCGAAGACATTATAATTTGTTAACTGCGTGACGGCTCCACATATGCATTCCGTTAGCCGTGTCACTAATTTAGTTAACGGCTTGAAACGAATGTTATGATAGTGAATAACACCCAACGTTTAAATGAGTTTAATGGTAAAAACTTGACATCTTAAAGCTCAATGAGCAATAGAAAACACATACATAAATTTATTGATCATTGGAACAATTAACTCTCCATTATGCCTTCAATCAACACAGTGCATCCCCTAAAAACTCTTTATTTATGAAAAACATATTATGTATTATAGAAAGTATCTTTAAATTTAAAGAGTTAAAATTTTTATACACTCCAATAAGTTTTCTATTTTGACTCTTTATTTTGCTTTTCTTAAAAAAGCATCTATTGATTTTTTTTTTCATATTTTATTTTAAACAATTTTTTATATGTCAATTGGCCAATTAATTTAAAGGTGATTTGAATAGTTTCAAAAATAGAGTATTGAATTATGCGATTTATTAAATGCATTCATTATACATTAAAAATAGAGAATGCGTTTGACTCTTAAAAATTGGAGAGCCAAATCCACTCCTTATTTTAAAAAGTTAAATAGAAAGGCTCTTGAAGTTTAATTTTAAGCATTAATTCTAAAATAAAGAGCATTTTGCATTTTGAGAGCCTTTTGAAGATGCTCTACGGCCTTGGAAACAAAGTAGTTTCTTTTGTCTTCAATCTTCTCATTTTAAAAAGTGGAAATTACATGGAGACATGTTTTTTAAGATCCAACTTCCTAAATAAGATTTCTTTTGTCTTGTGAGTATATGAATTTCCACATTTATTTAAAGACTACAATCTTATTTAGTACCGTTGTTGGCCCAACTTTCATTGGGCATATAGTTATGACCACATCTTTTAACATAGGCCGAAATTGAGATCATGAGCCACAGCACGTCACCCGAGTCACAAAATATGCCTCGATGGAAAAGACCGATACATGCAAAACACACAATAATACGGCGAAATGATACCCCCGCAAATTTAGGGTACATATGAAATTAACCATGTAGTGTGTGCATCAACTCATTTAAAGTTTTGCCGTATTAGCCAAACCACCAACATTCACTTCCTCTAAACCCATCGTGAAGCTTGTGATGTTTCATCAGTGAGTTCTTAGTGGCTAGTGTCATTTGATTTCACTTTACTACAATTTAGCAACCACAGATAAAAGTGTTCTATTAAAACAAAGGTTACGGCAGTTTCATATTCCTTAACCAACTTATTGGACAATGAATACAAAGAGACACAATGGTTGGCAATGGACATTACATGATTAACAAAGTCTGAAGGCATCAGGGCGATTAATTGCATTCGGTTTCCACAATAAAAGTTTAAACAAAATATTTAACAGCCAGTTTCCATGCGTTGGAAATTAAACTCAAACATTTGAAATTGACTCATACATGGAATCTGACTATGGACAGCCAAATATGGATACGGAAATTTTTGGGCAGCAAGTTTATCGTCCAGAAAAAGGATAAAGTGAATGGATTAAATGTTGCAATATTTCGAATACCCGCTATAATTTCGTCTCCACAAAACATGCAGGCTAAATAATCCTATTGTATATAAAGCTATTCACTATTTTCATGAAAACTACTAAAAATTGCATGGAACTTTCCGCACTATTAAATTGCTCACCTATCGAATTAGAACAAGCGTTAAATCTAATGCAGCGTGAAAATAGAATATAAATATGCAAAACAAAATTCGTCCTACGATTATTGGATAAATTTGTGCATAATTTATATTCCTCTAACAAAAACACGTGCATGCAAATATGAATAGAGTAATGACTTATTGAAACCATGGTGTGTGCATAATTATGAGCAAATCACTATTTACTCAAACGTAGAAAATTCAGAAATACGAAGTAGATAAATTGAAGCAAGGTATACGAATGCAAATCTCTTTAAAACGAATTTCGCCCCATGCACGTGTGCTAATAGGATCAAATGGACGTCCGTCTCCCAAAATACAACGTTTTTTTCAAAATTAATGTAGCATAATATTAATTTTACTGAACGAACTAACACTTGACTCTACTCTTCTAGAATTGAAGATATCGAATATTAAATATCGAACACGAAATTAAAAAATTATTTAGAAATTATTTTGGCTTAATTTGGAGAGGAAATCGATTATATGGAATTGATTTGGAGTGGAGAAAATGGAATTAAGAGTCATATTTATAGATTTTTATGTGTCATTTCCTAACAATTGCATCTTTTGATAAAATTAATTTTAATCATTAGATCGTACTCATAATTGATGACCTAGATTGTACGTTAATAAAAAGTTATGACTTTCCGTTATGCATCATTTGCATTTGAAGAGTCGCATCCAATCGTTACACTCATTGGAGACTTTTTCACACATTTTAATCTTTTTACATATAGCCTTAAATTCCAACAAAAATAACTACAGAGCATGTTACACGCAAAGAAGTACTTCAATTATCAACAACACTTCATAACTCTTTATGGCAATTCTAGAATTAAACCTCACAACTTCTAGATGCAATAAGAAAAATTAGAGATAAGATCCAACTATATTTAAATTTCAAGAAAAATAGTAATAATAGTCATAATTCAAAAAAAATATCATAATCAATTATATTTGTAATTTTAGAAAATTATTAACTTATGATATGAATGGGACCATAAAATTATCTATGGATTTTCAGAAGAGTATTATCTCATTAATTTATCGAAATTATTAATATAGTCTATTTGTTCAAGTCGGGATTGTAAAAAAATATTTTATAATAAAGGTTATCAATATATCAAGTGTTAATTTATAAAAGTTATACTATATATATATATACAGAAATGATCTAATGAGCACCGGTGCTCATCTTATCCTAAACACCGATGAGTTGGCACATTAATTCATTGGTGGATAAAGATTTTGTGAGTTCCAATCCACCAATGAATTAATGTGCCAACTCATTGGTGTTTAGGATAAGATGAGCACCGGTGCACATTAGATCATTTCTGTATATATATATTAATTTATTTTTTACGTAGGAATCCACAGCCACTATCCGTCACGAAGCCCTGATCACCCCGTAGGGGTGGAGACCCGACCACTATAAGTGCGTACTAGATTAACACTGCTTTATGTGCAGTAGCCCGCAAATCATACATGAGAGGTAAACCGCACTCGGCAAGTCAGTGCAACAAGCTCGATCGAGGAAGCATTGACAGGGGATTCGAATTCGTGACTTTTGGTCTCCGCGTTTATCTGCACCACCAACTCGGCCATCATTGAGGGGAATTTAGCTTATATATTACATGTATGATAATTCTATTTGTATCGAACATGGTGTATCGAAAATGTTACACCCTCTCATATGTGGGTGGGGCCCGCGTGAATAAAAAACTCCCAAATGTGTGGTCCCCACACCCTATTGAAGTGTAGGTAAAAGATTAAATAAAAAAAATGGTGTACACGTAGCGTTACATATATTGATTGTAGATTAATATTTTGTGATTACAACATATATTGATTGTAGATTAATATTTTGTGATTACATGCTTGGGTTTTAGTTTCATACGAATCTAAGTTAGATCACATCACGCGTTCCGCTTTCAACCATGTTGACAGAATCCGAACCGACCAATATAATTAATTAATTATATGGTCCTTGAAATTAGTCTATAGAGTATATTTTCTTCCAAATCGGTCACTCAGCTTCCTAATAGTTCCAATTGTTAGTTTGATTATAGTGAAATCTTGTGTACACCATAAAAGCTATTATTTACTAATACGAAGTTAATTTAATTGTCTAGTAAGCCTCTACGTTGTTAAATTTGGAATGATAAAACCTTGAAGCTCGTTTTTCTCCTAGCCCCCGTTTAGTGCATATTTTTGGAAAAAAAAAATGCATTTTTACTGTTAATGTGATGGGGAATATGTAGTTGAAAAAAAAGGAAAAGTTATTGATATGATGAAAAATATTATTTTATTGAAAAATGTTTGATTAAAAATAAATAGAAGAATAAGAATGAAAAAAATAACGTGGCTCAAACATGGCCCTAATTGAATTCACGTTTGGTCTTTTTAGTGCTTGTTTGACGATGTTATTAAACTGTGATTCCTACAAATTGCTTATATAATAAGTGGATAGTCATGGATTCCAACGAGTGTGTAAATAAAAAATATGTTTGACTAACTTAGATTAAATATTGCCAAATACAATCCTAGATTTGGTAGCATCATAGAATCAAATGTTAATAAGCGAGGAGTTCAACATTTTGTCATCACATTTTAAACATGTTCATTTTGACGTGAATCTTACTGACATAGTGATTAGACTGAAAATGTTAAATAACTATAGTGACTGGTTTGGATTAAAATAAACATTAAGGACCAACATGAACCGTTTATGTAACTTTAACGACCAAATGTGTATTTGATCATCAATAATTTATTAATTATTACCTAGTCCCTCCGATATTTGTAAAATAGTCATAAATCTCTCACACTGTAACTTCTAAACTGCACACAATCTCACCGGAACCACTGCTCACGGCGGCGGGATCATGAACACTATCACCGCCACACCTTCTTTGCCATTTTTAGGTGAAATACATTCAAAATCACAATAATGCTAACAATTTTTTCCAAAAACGCCGCCGTCTTCCGCCTAGCGATCACTGCTGCTGTCTTCCTCGCCGCGGTTGCTTTACCTTGTTACGTCATTTACATAGCTTCTGACTACGCAGAGTTCCAAATCCCCTTCCATGACTACCGCCGTCGTGATCCTCACATTTTCCCCTTGTTCCCTCCTGACGACGATTCCTCTGACTCGGTAAATGTTCTTATTCTACTTAACTAGTATTATTTTTAAGCTCTTCGAAGTCATACGGTAGGATTACCGATAATTATCAAATTAATTCACCAAACAGGACATAACGCTGTTTTGTACTTTCTGTTATTTACGTTTCTTTTACATGAGAAAGAATTTGGTCCTGCGACCCTGTGGTGTCTATTTAGAGCTGTAGAAATGTCGTTTTCTTAATTTTATTTGGCCACAATTACTAAAATATATTTCACTTACCACTAGAATCCACCAGGAAATTTTTGCAAATGAATGAATGAGCGAGTTGTGCCAAGGTAACGAAGTATAGTATGCAGTTAGGCTGACAAATATAGTGGCTGCCGAGCTAGGTCGGATACCGAGTCCTGTCATTTCTTTAATTTTTTTTATTAGCATTCTTAAAAAGTCAAAAAAAAAAAAATGTAAAATAAGTTGATGTAAAGTGCATAGAACTATAGTGATTTGAGACATATGAAAAGAACAACAGATGAAGTGGCTAAAATGATGATAATTTAAATCCAACTTCTTGAGACTTGGGAGCAATAGAAGTAAAAGATTGGCGAATTCACCAATTTGGAATTTTCAAAGTCAAAATGACTGTGTTGGAGAAGTTAGTGCACAAAGTACTCTTGGAATCTTTTAAATCATCCTTCTGGTAGACTAAAATTGAGCAACAAAGCAATCTATGGAGGCATGGAGTGATTTGAGACAGGCACGTGGTTATTCTATTTCATTAAAGGGTGTGGGGGGAATGTGTGATTGTTGAATAATGTATCAATGAGGACATTAACAACTTGAGACTTGAAGATTTCACAGTGAATTGCGTAGATGATCTGCCTTTCAATCAGCTAGGTTGAGGAACTCCATAGTTACAACTGATCAGACATCTTTATTCTTACTTCATGCAAATTATAATATGTAAAGGAAGGATTTAATTATGTGAGTGAATATCTTGATAAAGGATTTGATTTCCCCAACACTCCATTTGGTAGTTTATTTCAAAGAGGACAGCCAGGGCAGTAATAAAGAGCCAACAAAGTTCATGGCTTGACGTTACGATAACTTGCTGCTTGAACAGGGCACATGATTTAGAGTAGGCTCTTATTTTTTGTTTAGCTCCCAATCTTCTAGACTAGTTAAGTTTCACCATTTTTTTCTCATATACTAGAGGTTAATCTTCCACACATAAGTTAGTACTTTGTCTCATTTTTTCGCGTCAATAGAACTCTGCCTTGAAGTGGTCTAAATATAAAGAAGAAAATCTAGAAATAAGCTTGTTTTTTGAAGTTAAGTGACGAGAACCAAAAATGCCAACCCCATTCTGTAGCTTGAAGAGGTTTAGAAATAGGTACAAGCTTTATGATGAAATCTTGATATAGTGAAACTATAACAACTATAAGAGCTTAAAATTGGAGATTGCATGTAAGTCGACTGTAATCCAACCTAGCAGTTAAGCTACAAGGCTTCATTCTTCCTTTCAAAGTGTCATCATTGGCTCCTCTGACCCTTTCACCAAAAATTGGAACCACATTCCCACTTCACACAGTCAGACAGCCGCTAGGCTCAAGTCAATCATGTTTCCCTTTGCTTGCATTTGTTCAGTTCTGGTGGCCCAAAGGCATTGGGAATATGGAAATGGCACAGAGAAAGGTGGGGTGGGGGCTCCATAGATGTAGGCTAGAAAGCTAGGCACACCTACCCTTTTACTGCATTTGATTAAATGTAGGCCCCATAAATCACCTGAATTTTGGATTTCTTTCAAGGCGCCTCCATTTTAGAAGCTATAGATTGAATGGTGCTGAATCACCTATGGTTTTTGATAGACCTTTATGATGATCTTCTTATGTTTTCTTATACTGCCTCTTTGGTCTTTAGTTTTTGGCCAGTTTAAGCAGGACGCAATTAGTTTTTATTTCTTTCCGTGTATGAGTTTATTTATATGTTTTTTTGATAAAGAGAAGATCAGAGAACAGTTGCATTTGGTTCTTTCTGTTCTGAATTTATTACTGCTATAGGACAGTGAGGAGTATAGTCTTGAAAAAGTTTTGAAGGATGCCTCTATGCAAGATAATACAGTGATCTTGACAACCTTGAATGAAGCATGGGCTGTTCCAGGTTCAGTGGTTGATCTCTTTCTTGAGAGTTTCAGAACTGGAGAGCACACCCGCAGTTTATTGGATCATTTGGTGATCATTTCTCTAGATCGAAAAGCATTTTCTCGTTGTCTGCTTGTTCATATGCATTGTTATGCCCTTGTAACTGAAGGGGTTGACTTCTCAAGTGAGGCTTATTTTATGACAAATGACTACTTGAAGATGATGTGGAGAAGGATCAATTTCCTACAGTCTGTTCTTGAAATGGGATACAATTTTATTTTCACGGTATAGTCTCCCTCCATCCAACTTAATGTTCTTTCTACCATTACATGCATTAGACTGGATGTATTTTTTCATATTTTTAAATGAATGCTCTTAAGCCTGAGAAGCATCACATTTTACCTATTTATGTTGAAGTTAAGTAACTTTGTGGTTGTTAGAGTTTGTTTACCTTAACTTACTTTTAGTACCCTAGCATTTGTCTACATTTCTGTAACCAATTGTGTTCAACTTTTTAAGTTGATATCAATCTTTCAGGGTTCAATAAGAAATTTCAGAAATATAGCTTTGAGAACTATGCAATAGAATTCGAAGAACACTCTGCTTTACGTCTGCATCTTTTATTTCCTAATCATCCTGCCTCTTTTGGAGTTGTGCATCAATTTTGTATGACCAGAGCAGTACATGCAATTGCTTATGCTGTTAACAATATGAAATTGGAGACTTTTTTGAGCCAAAGATTCACTATACATTTTTGGGAATACTTTCTTTGCACGATCGTGGATGTTGTGTATGTTTTTAAATTCAATCCTTGGTATCTTGTGATATTTCCCATTGGTAGTCAACTAATTACGAAACAGGAGAAAAAGAAGTCAGGCCTCGAATATGTCTTATATTGGATTTTTATTACAATTCCAATCAGCAATCACATTTGTTTAGCGTACATGTTAATTTATTAAGTTTTTAATCCAGGTCTTTTGTGACCCTTTAGATTATGAATCCTGGTCAGGGTGCCCTTTTGGTTTTGAGCCTAATACCATTACGGTTTTATGAACACCGTAACCTTAATTTATTGATTAAAGTGGTTGAAGAGTCAACAACACACTCAATAGAATGGGCTGGCTGCATGACTCCATATTTGCCTCTTGGTTGGTCTTAAAAAAGGTGTCTTTCCGTTAATTTATCCTCAATTGGGACCACTTCCACTTATTGGCATATATCCCCAGATTGGTTGAAGAATTAAGACACGACAGTGATTAACTGAAACAGTATCTAGCTTATTGAGTATAAAATAAGATTTGAATATTCAGTATATATTGTCTCCAAAGTCAATTTCCAGTGGTCATATCTGATTATGACAATCTGATTCAAACTTACAGGAAGTTGTTAAATAGTGCATTCTATTCGATTTATATTATTAGTTGTATGGCCAATTATAGAAGCAGTTAAGACTTTGGGTCTCAATAAGCAGGGAAATCTATGGCCATCGTACAGATCCAAAAGCCAAATAAATCACCAACAATTATTTTATTGACAAAATTTTGACTCCTGCTGTGGCTTTAAAGGGAAAAACCCCGTCATCAGCAATTGTTAGATTTTTCAATGAGAACAGAACAAGAGTCACCCATATAACCTGCAGGAACTATGTTGAGGGAGAAGGTAAAATACATTACCAATATGTTTTTATTGAACAAATAACAATGTTCTATGTTTGACCAATGAAACTGCTATCAATACTCAAATACTTAGATTCCTCTCTGCGTCGTGCTTGTGTCTGCTTACTTGCCTCGATATCTGGAAGGAAGTTAGATGAAAGATAATTTGAGTATAGAAATGGGAGAAAAAAGGCTGTGTTTCCGTTCATTTATTATTTCAAACAATAGGAACTGACTGGAAGATAAAGCATATGAACTGTAACCTGTTTAATTTTTTCTTGCCAAGCAAAGAATGATTAAGATGAGAAAAAAAATGAAGTGCTCTGGCCGCTGAGTGATCTTATTTGTATTCATGTAACCTGTTTGTGTATTTTATGGATCATCGGCAGTAATGCCTTGTGTATTTTATGGATACCCTGTGGTGAACTACTGGTTATTTCTGTTAGTGTCGTTTGAGGTTTCATACAAAAGCCAACTGGGCTTTTTGGATGATTTCGTTATTTGCAGAACTAAAATTTTACTTGTATGTTCTTACTTTTGTCTTACATGGGATTTATGCTTGTGTATCGTTTACTCTGTTTCTCATGCATAATGTGATGTCATACTAGGTTATCTCTGTTTATTGATGAAGCACACTGGAAAAATTCTCTCCATATTCATGAATAAATTTCCTATTTGTAGGATGCTGATGTAATGTGGTTCAGAGATCCATTTCCCCACTTCCATCCAAACACTGACTTTCAGATAGCATGCGATCATTTCTTGGGCAACTCCAGTGATATAAAAAATAGTCCAAATGGAGGATTCAAGTTTGTAAGGTCAAACAACCGTTCCATAGAGTTCTACAAGTTCTGGTACTCTTCACGAGAAACATATCCTGGATTTCACGATCAAGATGTTCTCAATAGAATCAAGAATGATTCCTTCATTAGAGAAATTGGGCTGAAAATGAGATTCTTGGATACTGCTTATTTTGGTGGGTTTTGTGAACCCAGTAAAGACTTGAATCGAGTTTGTACTATGCATGCAAATTGTTGTTTCGGATTGGAGAGCAAACTTAATGACCTCAGAATTTTACTTGAAGATTGGAAATTGTTCATGTCATTGCCACCTAGTCAGAAGCAATCATCTCATTCATCATGGAGGGTTCCTGAAAGCTGCAGGTAACAGAGCTTCTGCTTTTGAATGAAAATGGTTACTAAATCTTATAATGCATTTTTGGCTTAGCTCAAAAAATGTAAACTTGTTTTAACTTTTAATTAACTTCTTTTCTCCAAAAATGTTTGAAATTTTGAATAGTAGATTTTTCTTATTTTTAAGTTAAAAAAAAGGGTTACTGGTAACTAAAAATTATTTACTTCCATCCTTAATTCTGTGTTTTTCGTCTATTGTTTCAGTATTGATTCTCTCCGCCACTTTAATCTAGCAGAGGATGATGTGGAACCGTTCAACAACAGTATATGAAGATTTTGAATAGAACTTTGTAAATAATACATTATTTGAAAATATAGCATTCTTTTTCTTTCCGGTTCTCTATCCACTCTGTTACCTCGCCACCCCTCAAGTCGATATGCACAAAAAGAAGTTGTATGCATATTATTCTATGGCCTTACGGAAAGAAAATTGAAGTGTATGTATTCTACGTGCAAATATAACGTGACTGCATGCATCTTTAAAGAGTGCAAATTGATACCGAGTAGGACTTGAAAGTCTCCTCCTATGCATGCTAACAGAATTGGGTCAGAAAATTAGTAGTAAGATTAATGCAGTTAAATCCTTGTCTATAGTATAATCTTGCACACTCTGTAGCTGATTAGCTGAAGCATCTTATTGAAGTTCATTTCATTTTCTTGTAATTGTGTTCTTTCAATTTTTGTTATTTGTTGTACTTAGATGAGTCCGTAGATTCAAGTCTGAGTAATTTGTTAATCATAAAGAGTTGTGATTGTGAGATACAAATTATATATGGCTGAATCTTAAATCATCCGTGATCGTAAGTAATAATGAGATACGAATGTAGTTATTACAGATAAAGCATCACGTGTAACATTTTTTACTTATGAAGTAAGTAGACGATTTCACAAGCTAAAGCGTGGTGACACTTAAATAAATACGTGAATGTTTTGTTATAGAACAAAATATTAGAGACTCTCTGAAAAGATTCCACATGGGTAACTCTTTGAATTCAGTGGTTAATATCTAACGTTCGGTAGTAAAATTTGTCATTCGACTCGAGGTCATCATAGTGCCTTATATATGATAGTCATACTTCGGTGATGTTCATTGTTGTTCTGTCAAGAGTCGCTAATACGGCATTATTCGGGTATGTCAAAAATCATATGAATGTTGTGAATGATCAATATATGTTTGTCACAATTAATTAATTATGCTGCTTGTTAATAGTCCCAAATTAATTAATTGGATTGACTAAATATTAGATCTGATTAAGTTTAATAGACGGGCTAAGCCCACTTGAACTTTTATTAATAGGTTGCTAGGGTTTGAAAAATTATAACACAATATAACAATTATTATCTTGCTAGTATAAGAAAAGAGAAACTCTAATTCTCCTATGTGAATTTTTATTGGAGGCTGGACAATTGGACAATTGTGGATTATAGATCGTGATTGTTCGTTTTCAAGATAAGCAAAGTAGTTTACAGAATTCAACAAATGTATAATTCCTATCACAATTTCTTTCTCAACACAGAAAATCCTTGATGAGAATTGAAATTTGTTTTATCTTCCGCCGTGCATAATTAAGTAAATATTTAACAATTCTTTAGGTATAAGTTGTGAAATCACTAGTGGTGTAGAGACGACGCCAATTTAGAATGTGAAATCTACCACCTTTGCGATGGACGAGATGTTGGCGATGTCTTCACCTTGAAGCTATTAAATCTTGTGCTTTGAGCAAATTTGTATGCACGAGGTCCCACCTTGTCCAAAAAAAAAAAAACTTTCTTTAATGCTACCCATTAGCATGGTAAAATGGAATTCTATTATTTTCAATTTTTTATGAATCCATGTTTTCTAGCCAGCTTATCAAATTAGTGAGTTTGTACTCACTAGTATGTGAATATATAGAATTGAATATTTAAGAAAAATTTCTAATACTGTAGAAGATATTGTGAACTAATGACATATACGAGCGTTTGTTCTGGTACAGTATCTTGTATTGATGTTAACAATCATTATCTTTAAATCATGACAATCCCTTTCCCTTGATATCCCAACCTTATGCATGAAAATGTGTTGGGCATATATGGTGACCGGCATGAGGCACATAAAATTTTCTTGCAAATTATTTCAGTTTTTCACAACAAAAAATCATGATGTTCCCATCAATATACTCATGCACATGCTTTGTTTTTAACTTTTCAATTTGAAAAGACATTTTTATCAAGATGCCAGTGTAAAATAAAATTTCTTTTGATCTTTATGTTACCAATATTATAAATGATGGTTTTAATGTGACTTATTCTTGCATCTATGAAGAGATTTCCCGTTTCCTAACCTACTCAAGCTCATTTTTTTATCTATAAAGATATTTGCATTAAAAAAATATGTGAATTTTCTCGTAAATTTCATTTGTCTGCCTCTATTTTTTCTATCCAATTCGGATAATGTTATGAATTCAGACTTCTTCACTCTTTGATATTTTCTTGATTGATGATATGATGAGTAATAATTGACTTCTCAATGATGATGTAAGTGAGGTTTCTTGTAGTTCTCTATATACTTTGAACGTCAGTTGGATCATTTTTTTTAATCTCCAAGCAAAGTTTCAGAAAGTCTATGGGCATCCTACTTTCATCAAGCTTCTATACGGTATTCAACTTAACCAACGGCACAACGTTTGATACAGAAGATAATATATCAAAATGATAAAGATTTTGAGTTATGCTATCTTCAACGTCTTCCTCATATGGAAGTGGTGATTGGCATATTTTAGTGCGCGTTACTAGTCTTGGTTTTTTGTACATCATGATTAATGTGAATCATTCAAGTATGAGTCTAGAAGTCGATGTAATCGTAGAATTAAGATTCGGTCATTCACGTTAAAATGCTCGAGAAGTTTGTTCCCACCATTTTTTCACTAGAGCAGCACTGGTTTTATATAGTGTTTGAACAAGTATACCGACAAAAATAAATGTAGAGCATTATAATTTTGAAATAGACATTATAAATCTATAAAATTGACAATATAACTTTGCGCACTAATAAAAATTTCTAGCCTTTTCAAGTTATAAAGAGGAAGTAAATTGTTATTAACTTGAGAAAGAATAGTATTATTTGCAAGTATATAGTGCTTTCTAATATCTTGGACGTAATAACTAGTTTAGGCTATACAGAGTGATGTCAATTTTTGTAACCCTCTATCTGATTAGGGGACTATGAGCTTATGTGCAAGACCTCTCTTTTTGCCCACAAAAATGGGATGCTTAGCTAGGCCACTTATCGATCCTAATATCTGCAAAGAAGTGAGGGGTCGATTAGGATACTAGCGGTTGGCAAGGTTAATATCTCCCCGTTTTCCTCCAGGATGAGAATTAGCTCTCAAGAGTAATACATTCTAGAGAGGATTTACTAAAAGGGTACAAGTATGAAAAACTCTTAAAGATGTAAATTGAGTTTACCTTGAGTACATTGAGTGCCTTTTTATAGGAAAATACATTGGACACATGGCGAAATATCCTTGAATATGAATGAGACACTTGTAAGATCTCAAGTCTTATATGAACAAAATTGTGGAATACTATAGGTTCTCCTTTCAACAAATAGAGGAGGGACACTTCACAAGATTGGTGGCCATGGGATGAGCGCACATGGCAAAAATGTGAAGGATATGTCCTCAAACAAGTCTATCCTCTAGATGGTGTCAAGTTGAGCTTTGAGAGTAAACGTTTTGGAAGTAATAGAATTTGAGAAGGGTCAAAATGTTAATACCAGATCCCGATTTAGTTCGAGTCTTGGACGAATAGGGCACTTAAGCGGTTGATTGCGAGGGACAGAAATGGGTCACACATGATGCCAGTCAAGCACGAAAAGGTCCCCTCTCCTCTTACTTGACCATGTGGTCAGGCAAGAGAGAGGGGGTCCTCATCTCTCACTCCATCGTGCGGTCGATACTATTTTATGTTTTACATCATATATGTAATTGTACTAAAGTTTTAAATTATGAATAAATTAAATTGTATCACTTGTTCGATCGATCAAATAAATGCTAAAGATCATTGCATAACGCAAAATGCCAAAGGAATTAGACAATTTAGCAATCAAGCTTTTTAAATGTACAATTGTGCCACAATACCAACAATTTTCACATTATTATCTTCTTGCTCGAACTATAGAAGCGGGAACTATGTCATGTTTTCCAATAACAAAACAATCACAAAATCTTATATTATTTCAGTAGAATATTTTTGTTGTAGAACATTGGACATGGATATCAAAATGCAAACTGAGCTATTTCATCAAAGTGAAACCACTTTTCTTAAGCAGGTCGTCTAAACGTTAGTTACCTCTCCTACCTTCTACCATATGCTAGTAGTGTACAGCTTCACCTATATTCACATACAATTACAAACGCTTCTTCATTGTTACTCGACCGTGGACTTTCAGAGAATGATAGCCGCCTTCTCCTAATGTGCAAAGGGAACAAGAAATACCCAGAGGCAGTATAATTTTGAGTTCAGACTTGAGATGGTGACTCCGGTTCAGAGCCAACAACGGATGAAAACGACATGGTATCTTCCTTGGGTATTGAAACAAAGTTAAGTGGCACTGTGGAAAGTCTTCTCGTTTCCTTGAAATACCCATTTTGTCTTCCAGAATAGGAACGGGGTGTTAGGAGTTCAGGAGTTGCATGCCCAACTGAGTTCTGACGAGGTGAGGGAGTCATGGATCCATTTCCACTCGTGCGATACCCATTCTTAAAGTTGTTGCTTCTTCTAGGACTTGGCTTAGAACCATACACAGCTTCTTTCTCAGCGAGCAGCATATCTTGCCGTTTCTTTTGTTCCTGAGTAAAGATTAGTTAAATAATAGCAGAACAGTTGATATTGACGAATTTAATTATATAAATGCATGTAGGCTCCAAGCATTTTGACGTGATTCACGTGTAATGTGCAAATCAAAAGGTAATCTCAATCCTATGCTTCTTTTTCTTCTTTTATACTTGTTTTTCTTTTATCCATATTGGCAGAACATCCTTTCTTTGTACCTGAGTGTTATCAAAGTCGTGAAAATAACTCAATTTACTCGTATGAATTGAATCAGAATTACCCGAGCACACTTCCTCTCCTCTTCTTTCTGTTGTCTGGTTAGTTTGTAATCCTCCAAAATTGAAACCAAACGCACCTGTAGATAAAATTCAAAATGAAAACTACTTCGCCTAGACCATAGCAATAGAATACGAAATTTCAAACTGCATCATAGAAATTCTAAAGAACTTACCCCATCATAAAGAAACAGATACTTTTTCTCTTCCTCCCACGCCAATGTCTTGCTAATTAGATTATCAACCATACCTGAACATCAGTGTTTTAGCTCCAGATATGTTACTAGTTTGCATAAGATAAGATAGCATTAAGACTACAAAAAACGTACCTGGAATCTTATTTACCAAAATTCTAGCTCTTTCAGCACGTTTTAGGTTTATGTGTGCACCTCGGCCAGCACTATAACGGTTTTCATCCTGATAATCAGCAACCATAATCATATGATGACAAGGAAATACAACTCATGTTTAACAGCTATATATTCTGGACTACTTGAAATTTACGAGTATATAAACTAATAACAGGTTGCTTGTTCCTACATTCATCATAGTGATGTTAATAAACTACATTTTGAGATTACTTGAGTATAATCCTCTAGCCAATTTTCTTCATCACATGCAGCAAGCCAACGGTCTATCTTATCCATTATCTCTTTTCGGCTCCAAGCTTCATCTTTCGCTTTGTTCATTTGAATATCAATGTTGGCTAAGAGTTCACAAGGATCCACCACACCTGCAGAAGAGGAAGGTTTTATACTTGTTACCTTGTGAACAATGTGCAGAGAGAGAGAATGACTCAAGAACAAGATTTCCAACCAGAATCAATTAACGCATTGATTTTATCATCAGCCATGCTTGGATCAAGTTTAATATGGGTTCTATAGCATATATCCTCCAACTCCAACCTCTTCTTCATCACAAGTTCTTTCATCCTGTTAGCTGTTAATTTAGAGAGCCTCTCGACCTCTGCTGATACCTGTAGGAAGTAAATTAACATCACAGAATCTAGGTTATATTAGGTGAAGGGAGATGGTAGGTAGGGATGCCAGTACTTCCAAACCTGTTCAATAATCTCCATTGACAGAGAACCTGGTTCAACAACAGCGGATTCTGTCGAACCAAGGATCAAAGTAATCATTAAGAACTTAGCTTTCTCTTCATTTGCCACATCCATCAAATTCCAGAGGTTAAACAGTAATCCAGCAACATCTTTCAGCTGCAGTAATTGTAGATTTAATATGGAAATTTACATACAAGCCAATTTAGGACTATAAGAGAGAAATACCTTCTGAAATCGAATTGTTCTCTCTGTTTTCAACTTCAGGATAGCCTGATCAAGACCCTCTAACGTGGCATCACAGATATTTGAGGCCTGATCTAGGCTCGTTCCTTGCAAGCTAGGATGAACATCACTCAGAGTTTTGCCAAAATCTAAAGCTAGTACATTGCACAGAGAATGCAATTCATCCACAAACTCCAAAACTTTCTTGAGACGCTCAGACTGCAGATGATAGAAAATACATACAATTGTTTCATAAGTCAATACATCAGCCATGCCAATTACCAAACCTATAAGATAGAAGTTTCATAATAGAAGATTATTACATGTGATATGTGTTACCAACCAACTAGCATATTGACAGAAGTTATGCTAAGCCAAACTGGAAATGTTGCATTATTTTTAATTAGATACCACTGCTCAATTCAAATGGCAGTTGGATTTACATTGCACACTACTCAATGGACAAATAAAGGATTACTCAGTTGATATGACAGAAGCCAAGAGTATCAGAAAAAACGTTTTGTGATTGACATGAAAATATGAAAATGTCAAACACTTTCAAACTGAAATGGTATTTGTCGTGTATACTCGATATTTCTCTTTTTCTGTTGAAGAGATTATTATTTGCAATAATAAGACTCCTGAAAGCAGGGAAGAGATGGAAATGATAACAATTGACCCCAGACTACGGCCTACGAGAAGCACATAATACCCTGTGAACATCAAACAAGGGTACTCTGTTTATACTTCTTTCATTGCAAGAAACAGGGTTTTTTTGTAATTATTTGTCTAAACAGATTATTTTTAATCCAATAGATCTTATTTATGCGCGTATTAGTGAATTGGGTGGTGGGAGCTATGTGGGGGTGATGCAATCAAGAAAGAGAAATTCGTTTTGAGAAAGCAAAAGACAACCTAGGTAAAATGAAAAAAGAAGAAGCATATGTTGCTTCATCATTAGATTTGCTCAAATACATGGTTACAGTGAAATTAAAAGTAATAGATTAACATACACAAATCCTTAGTGAAAAGTGCAAAGCCACATGAAAATAAGAGTAACATACGATTAATTAAAGACAATCCATAAACAGAAAAATCAAGATTTTCGGCTGAAAAAAATCAAGTACGTGAACTTTAAATCAACAAAATAGTAGCGCGGCATACCTTTTCCTTTTGGAGAGCTCGAAGATTTGAGTAATATTCGGTGAGCTTTCTGTGTGATAAGTCTTTTTCTTCCAGAGTCAAGGAATTTACAGCACTGGCAATGTGGCCATATCCAGAAATCTCGCCAGTTATTTTCTCAATTTGTGACTTTATATCTGCAAATTGCTTCATTCGTTCATCTTTCTTAAGTTTAAAGTCCTCAACTATATGTGTGACTGAGGCCAGTTGCTCTTTCAGAGATTGTCCTTTCTTGTCTGACTGTATCTGTTAAGTGCATTGTTAAGTTCAGTTAATGGCAATAATTATTATTAATGCAAAAGACAAGAGAAGTACGGCAATCATTATTTCTTTAGATGATCAAATAAGCACTAAAAACCTCAAAACCATCAGTAGCAAAAGATGGTCATGGAATATGCAATATTAGATACAAAACTTCTCTCTTAATTAGCAGATATAGAAGCATTTAAGCAATGCAAAAAGAAATGATAATGAGAAATCATTAAAAGATGTAGACTCATTTATACTGATTGTTTTAATTCTAAAGACACTTCAATACCGATGAATTAATATTGAATTCTCCCAGAGCAGCCATAAGCATTGCAATCTCAGCTTCCTTCGCGGCTATAGATTGATGAAGGCAAGCCTTGACATTGGCAGCCTCATCAACTTTTCTTCTGTAAATTTCTAAGCACTCTCTCTCGAGCTCCGACAACATGCAATCTTTGTCAGCTTCAGTCACACCAATTTCAGTCCATATTTGCTGCTTACAAGAATAGCTATGTCAGAAAACACAAGTCTTATCATGCCACGAGCAATAGCTCGACCTCCAATCACTAAACTCAAAGGTTTGTTAATAGTCCATTTTTCAGAAGAATATTTAGTCATTTGTAACCAACCGAATTAGAAAAAACCCGCGACCAATAATCATTTAAGAGAAAAATGTTTCAAAATAGAGCCAAACTTTAAGCCCAACAAATGTTTCACAACACAGCTTTGATCTCAATTTCTTTGAGATCCCAAAAGAAATTATTAGAAAAAGGCTCTAAGTCAAAGAGCAAAATACATGAACAACAGCCAAACAGTTTTAAAAAGGCAAGGCACAACTTTTAAATTTACTAAAACCCAGCCCTTGTCTAGCAAAGACAAGTTGTACAATTCAAACCATTAGCCTAAAGAACAACGAAACAACTTGAATTTAGCACTCGAAAACCCTAAATCCTTTCCAAACCCCATAAAAAGAAGACAACAAAATCCAAGAAAAACTGAAAAATTAACGAAACTCCAAAAGAAAAATGAAAAAGGCCACATTTTATCGAACAAGCAGGCTTTAATCAACGCGCAACATGTAAGAAACTGAGAGAGGGAGCTAAACCTCAAGTTCTCTGAGCAAAGAAACGCAACTATTGCTAGTAAAATCACTGTTACTTGGCCTCCCAAACGCCAGCATTATTATTTCTACTGATTACACAAAACAACCAACAAAATCCCCCCGAAATGCAAAGCCTTTTGAACTTCACTCTATACTTGTGTTTAAACAAAATCAAGAAAAAACTTCCATAGCTTTTAAGAAAGGGATTATGGGTGTTTCTTGTCTCTGTGTAGAATATAATGATTGTTTAACAGCACCAGCAGCATTCAAATCCTCGCCCTTTTGTAGATTTTGTTTTTATCTTCAACAAAGAATGGGCCAAGAAAATTTCGATGCCTTACAGAAAGAAAAGGGCCAAGGATAACAACCCAATTATGTACCCTTTCTTAAAAGGTAGATAATTGAAAGTTGACTAATTCTGGGGTGCGGGCATTAATGCACTAATATTAGCATATGCAGTGCAGGTGAATCTGCGCGGATTCTAAGGTTGATGTGGATTTATTTTTGACAATATCATCCCAATTTTTCAGTTTTGTAGTGAGTTTGATCTTGTAAATTGCTGGTTCTATTGATTTTTTAATCTTGTTTTGACGTTTAAGGATGAACTTGTCATTGTGACAAATAAAAAAATTTGTAACGAAAACAATTTAATTGGAAAATGGAATTATGATATCACTTCAATTAAAAAATATGTTAAATAATCGGGAAAAAAAAAAAGAATTATCTTGAGGATCTACTTGCTGTTACTTTGCCTAATGCTATTAATTGGTTTCAGTATCAATCCTATTACAGGACCTACTTTCACTTGTTAACATTCCTCATATTTTCTTCAACATATTGGAGTAAAAAAAATAAATTATAATTGCTTTGTTAGGTTATTATTAAAAAAATTGTGATTCATCTCAATCTCACTTTAGAATTACATGATCAGTTTCAATCTCAATTTAAATTAGTTAGGGCTCAATTATGCCCTGATCATTACCCAAAAATAAAAAAATATTTTGAATAATGATTTATTGGAGAATGCGTTGTTAAAAATTAGGAAAAAATTTAAATTTAAGTGAAAATATATTTTATTGTATAAATGTATAGTTGAAAATGAGCATGAGAATTATAAAATTTTATTTCAAAAAAGACAAACACGAACTATATCCTTGTTTGAGCCACATTTTATCAAAAATTAATTTTTTTCAAAATTCATTTTCAACCACGCACTCTTCAATAAAATAATATTATATGTAAATCGAAATTTTTTTCTTCATTTTTAACCATACTTTTTTCATAAATTACTATTTAAAAATGTATTTTTCCGAGTGAAGGCTATAATTACATTATTAGGGCTTGACCACCATGCCAGTAAGGTCATGCGGCGTATGGAGCTAGTCGATCATGAGCTGGCTCATTTCAAAAGCTCTCGAGTCTCTAGAGGACTGCTCACCAACTTGTCCCTACGTGGATCGAGTCGAGCCAGCTGACGAGCTACTAGCTGGCCCGTGTTTTCTATTTTGAAGGCCACTCTACTTGAATTTAGGCGTGTAGATCTTTTCTTAAAACTTTCATCTTTGGAGTGGTGGTGTTAAGAATGCATCTGATCGTGGGGTGGTGAGGACTTCCCGGAAAATGGCTGGCAGACGTCACACTTCACAACTCTCTTTGTTATCCCTTCCATTTCATATGAGGTATTAATCTTCATTTTTCCGTAATTTCCTCCATCTTTTTTGCATTATATTCATCACCATAATTCAGAATAAGGATCTTGAGGCCCTGCACTTTTGTACTTTCCATCATGATGTCAGTAAGTCTTGAATCTTGAATTCCATCTCATTAACATATTTATTCATCTTCAAATACTGTTAATAGATGAATTCTTTAAAAACCCAGTTCTTTTTTTTTTTTTTTTACTGTGACCGTGTATGGCGTAATTATGTATTGGAATCTTTACATGAATGTATGTCATACATAGTTTCTCAGTATAAATCGATGGAATTTTATTACGGGAATGTTCTTAGGTTATCTGATCCAGTGAAAAGTTGTCTTTAATTAATAATGAATGGCTGATGGGGATTTCTAAGAAAGTGTATTTGTTATCTTTTGAATTGCTCAATATGTTTATGTAATATATACTGATAGTTGGATTGATCTCGTTGTGAAGCATTGGAATTTCCTATGTTTTGAAAATAACTTAATCCATCATCCTTTAAATTTGCTGCTACTATCATTCTTTTACAATTTGCCTGTGTAATGGTGCTTTTTTGTGGTCTGCCATACCATTCATCCCTTCCTCCTCTTGTCTTCCACTTATTTTTTCATTTTTTGTTTTATGCCCCCATAACTCTTCCTTGGGGAGCCCTTTCCAACAGATTCCTGAGTGTTGAAGTTAATTTAAGGGATCCGCAATTTAAGTCTTTGATAAGTTAGAAAAAAATGTACTTGAATCCATTTGACATTTTTAATGCACCTCACAAAGTTTTAAAGATTGATACAAGACCCTATAGTAGTTATGCTATTTTGGAAACTTTCAAGATCCTTTTGCTAGTTTTGAGAGTTTCCAAGCACCATCTTGCATTCCAATTCCAATTTCTTTGTATTATTTTAATTACTAATATTACAAGGAACTGGATATATTAACCAACAATCATGCTACACGTACATTATTTTTTACATCATTTTTGACATTGTGTCACGTGGTAACACACCATTGTAAAAAACACACACACACACACTTTCCCGCCCAAAACTTTTTGAACTCCAATGGGATGTAAACAATGATGTCAACCAAATAATGTACACTTAGCATTATTCATTAACCAAATAATTAACTCCGTCTTTAAACTTTTTACATCAAAAGTTGAATGAATTGATTGATTTGTATGGATTTTGGAAAGATGCAATTTTTCATTCAATATATCTTATTTCAGAATATTTATGGTGTCATTTTATGAACCCATTTATTCTTCTTTCAAAGATTTCGATTTAATAAGTCTATTTGTTAAAACAAGTCCTCCAAGAAGCCTTTCGGACAAATTATAAATGGTCTATATATAATTGGTCGTATTATCGTGCTTATATAGATTATTTTTATAAAACATCCTTAACTGGAGCGGTAAGATGATTAGCCCAATTGACTCACTTTTTTGATCGATGAGTAATTGATGGAATACAAATGGAGTTGGTGTTATGAGTTTCTATATAGGAAAATGTATCAAATATGTAGGTGGTGGACGCATATCATCTTTTCTTCTATTTATCTTGCGTATCAATCTTTCTATTAATTTCTTATTTTTCGAATTTTTTATAAGTATTTTGAATTACGATGATGATGATGATATGCAGGATCCCATGGATAAAACCGAAACGAAAAAGGGAGAAGATTCCCATCCGACAAGTAATCTTAATTGCACAATCAAGGTCTCAGATGTGAGGTTCATTTGGTGTACATTTTTCTGAAGTGATTGACATATATTTTGATTAAGGTTTTGAAGATTGATATATGATGTATTAAAAAATATAATAATGATGCTATGTTGAAAACTTTCAAAATCGTTTTACGAGTCTTCAGATTATGTGATAATAGCCCTTGACCTATTTCTCAAAATAAGCTCTTCGAGAGTCTCCAACGACCATCTTGCATTCAAATTCAAGTTTCTTTGTCTTATTTCTATTACAAGGACCTCATTATGCTGATCATATGCAGGATCCTATGGACAAAACTGAAATGAAAAGGGGAGAAGACTCCCTGCGGACTAGTACCCCTAATCGTTCAATCAACGTCTCAGATGTGAGGTTCATGAACTGCATTGTAGCCGAAATATATATGCCTTTTCTCAATAATCTTCTTTCACCTTGTTGATGATATCCACAAAAGAAGACTGTTCTGCTTTGATCTGTAATGCATTTCTTTTGGCTTAATTAACATTTATGGGATATTTACGCTTGTCCCCACAATGAAAAACCACCAGCTCCCAAATAGTGAAAGGTCCTTAAACAATTCTGGATGTTTTTGATTGACAGAATTGGACGTCATGGATATTTAGGCATAACCATGGAGGAACGTAACCTTTATATGGACAGGTGGTTGTGGTGGTAATCATAATATAACTGTTTAACATTAGCAAAAGTATGAGTCTACCACTCACTTGAGTTCCATAACTTAAAAAAACATGAAATTGCATTTTTTAAAAATTGTAGTCTTGTTGTACTAATGAACTAAACTGAGCGGAAAGAAACGATTCATGTAGACCCGAAAATATGCAGTCTGATTATGTAGAAGGCCGAGGTTTAGCATATACCTGAAAAGTTTCAATTGAAGTTAGGATCATTATTCATTTGGGGGGTACATTTTTCAGAAGTGGTTGTTATATTTTGATTAAGGTTTTAAAAATTTAGAGTTGATGTGAATCTATATAATTATGAAACTTTCAAAATCCTTTTGCTAGTTTAGATCTCATGTGCTTATCCCTTAGCCAATTTCTGAAATAAGCTCTTTAAGAGTTCCCAACCAAATTCAATTTGTGTCTTATTATAACTACGACGGCTTATGCTGATTATGTGCAGGATCCCATTGACAAAACTGAAGCAAAAAAGAGAGAAGACTCCAAGCCAACTAATACTCCTAATTGCACAAGCAATGTCTCTGATGTGAGATTCATGAACCATCTTGTAGCTGAAATCTATATGCCTTGTCTCAATAATATTCTTTTTCACCTTGTTTATGTCCACAAAAGAACACTCTGCATGAGTTATGATGCATTTTTCATATGACGTAATTAAAGTTCATGGCTATTTACACTTGTCCCCACCACGGAAAACTTGCATAGCGAATGTGCCAGACAGCCTCTCCATTCATAGCTATTTGTTTTGAGATGGATGCTTAAATATTGTTGGATAGTTTTGATAGAGGAATCGAAAGCTAAACCTCCAAGTAAAGTAACTTTTGTATGGTAGTTGATGATAGCGGAAGTCATAAAACAACTATAAACACTAAACACTAACAAAATTATGATTCTGCCACTCACATGAGGTCACCAACTCAATAATATAAGAAATTGAATGTTGTTATGTAAACTACCAGAACTGTAGTCTTGTAGCAATGAACTGAACAGGGTGCCATGAAGGATTCACGTAGCTGACCCCAAATATATTGGGAATAAGATTTAGGACGTTGTTATTGTCAACAGGTCATAGGCCTAATTTGCCAACATCGTATGCTGGTATTTTTCTTTTTTGTTTGCATGCAATCTTAGCAATGAACCAAATGAAACGAAGTGGAGAAAAAATATGCATGTAGCCGACTCGAAATTTTTGGGAAACAAAGCTTAGTTTATTGGGTGTTTGCACAAAATCTTAGCAGATGAAGGCATCAACTCATTTACACGCGTTCTTACTTTTGACAGATAAGAACAGTTAAAATCAGTAATGTTACACTGGCTGCCTCTGATAAAGATATCTTGGAATTCTTCTCTTTCTGTGGTAACATTCAATTTGTCGAGATGAAAAGGTCTGCCTTTTAGCATACTTACCCATTGAGTCTAATTAAAAAATTGAGCTTAAAAGAGTTGATGGTTCATTTGCAGGGGAACTGAAAACACTCAGATAGCATATGTTACCTTCAACGAGTCACAGGGAGCGGACACTGCAATACTTCTGTCGGTATGCTAAATTACTTACTGTTCGAATTTTTCAGTTTTACGTAGTGATCTTCATGATATTTTATGTCTTCCACATTGATTTATGATAATTTAGAAAGTAAATCTTTTGCCAAACTTTCATTGTTTGAGAACATTCATCTTTGAAATATACTGATGATTGTAGTAGTTGATTTGCCTGGCCTAGAAAAATGATTTTTCTCAGCAAGACTGATGATTGTAGAAGTTGATTTGCACATAATCATCACTCTTGAGAGCAAAAATGAGAACAGAAATAGGATAGTGCTCATCCATACTTTAGGAATTTATCATCTATACATGAAAAATCTCTCTCAATAGCTATGCAATCAACCAATAATGACACAAGGGATGCACTCCTTATCGAGTTTCCTATTCTCATTGAACAATTATTTTGAGTAGTGAATACGGGTACTCTGAGTTCAATTCTTTTATGAATCTTTGATCATTTTTCAATCAATGTTATTAGATGTTTAAAATTACTATAATTGATCCATTTTTCAATTCTTTTATGAATCTTTGATCATTTTTCAATCAATGTTATTAGATGTTTAAAATTACTATAATTGATCCATTTTAATTTTCAGGGAGCTACAATAAATAGTCTTCCCGTGTCTGTAACTCCTGTCGATAACTATCAGCTGCCTCCAAATGCTCCTCCTCTGAACTTGGTGAGTTTACGTGACTGTCATGACTCTTTTAAATAATTTGTTTCTTTCTGGTTTTTGGCCTTTCCATAATCATTTGTAAGTTGAAATTCCCTTGAGGTGTAAGCCTCTGGTTTATTAAATCTTTATTTTTCAGGCTTTTAAATTAGTCATCCTCTTTCATCTAGCAAAAGTTATTTTAACAGATACCTGAGAACGTGCCTCCACGAAAGAAAAAGAAGAAAAAAAAAAGAATGCTGATTATACACACTACTGCAGGTTGCTAATGCTTATACATGAGCTCGTAGAAACAAAAAAGAGAGAGCTTAATATTTTCATAACTTGATATAATGACTTTGTGTGTGTTTGGTAAGCTATTTGTAGATTATAAGGCGTGGGTACGGAATGTATGGATAAAATAGGTCACGGAACGTGTCTAATAAAATGAGGATTGACCAGCGTATAAACTTGAAAAAACTCATATTTTATATTATTCATTCTCATTATGAGATCTTTGCAGTCGAGTGGATTTTACTTTTTTTGAACCTTGAATGTTTTGCCTTCAATATTTTTGCGTTGGTTCACCCCGTACTCTCTCCATTTGATTTTATTTGATTATTTGCCGAACTGATATTAACAGCTGAAAATAACTTAAAAAATCGGAAGCATGTGGGTTGTTATATCAAATATATGATATTATTATCTTCAAGTTCAATTCTGAACCTCATTTTTCCTTCACGGCCTTTGAAGGAGTCGAAGCCAACTGTTACAGATTCTGCTGCGAAAAAGGCAGAGCATGTTGTCAGCTCCATGCTAGCTAAGGGCTTCATCTTGGGAAAGGATGCCCTCAACAAGGCAAAGTCTTTCGATGAAAGGCACCACTTAATATCAAATGCCTCGGCCACTGTTGCTTCCATCGATAGTAAGATTGGCTTGAGTGAGAAGTTGAGTGCAGGGACAGCTGTGGTGAATGAAAAGGTGAGAGAAGTCAACGAGCGGTACCAAGTCTCGGAAATGACAAAATCAGCCTTGGCCGCTGCCGAGCAGAAGGCCAGCAGCACGGGATCTGCCATCATGACAAACCCCTATGTGTCCACTGGCGCTTCGTGGGTTTCGAATGCGTTTAATGTAGTTTCAAAGACGGCTGAGGGTGTTAGAGCAATAGCAAAGGAGAAAGTTGAAAAGGCGGAGAACAAAAGGGAGACCCTTGATAAAGAAAAGGCAACAATGGTAAACAACCTTGCAAACGTCCATCTTGATGAATCTCCTGTGGTTGTCAATTCACCTGATGGGAAAAAGTAAGCTTGTACAAGGATTTCCACTGAATCTGAAGGTTATAGTTCAGGTGGATGTAGGAACTTGGCAATAGATTGTTTTGTATCATTGCACGATTTAAAGTCATTGTCACTAAAAATTTAAAGATATTCTCCATGTCTTCGTATGTTTGGTGTATTTCTCTTTTATTTTGATGTGAGAAGCTGTTTTCACTTTGTAAAATTCTCCTGAGGAGTGTTTAGCAAATGCTAATGTTAAACTAAATCCTGTAATTTTTTTATGCACAGATGAGTTCAAAGAAACACAAGGCATATTAGTCAAGAGTAAAGGTAGGAATTTTTTAACTCTTTGGATGCACCATAATTTGTTGAGTCATTACAAGCTCGTAATTGAAAGAAATTTTATCTCCAGGTGCAGCACATTAGACAGCTAACTAGAAGAATGTAAGGCTTTCCTTTACGGATTTAATGAACAATTTACATGTAATGTTCTATTGTAATGGAAAAGTACAACAGTCACAGCGTCACTTGATCCGACTTGAAGAATGTTTATAAAACTTGAAGCTTTAGCTAGTGTATGTACTTCACTAACCATTCCAAGCTCTGTCAAACAGAATACACAATGATGAAATTCATAGCTAACTTCAAAACTGCAGTGATATTCTATATAGAAAATGGTTTATAAGGGAAAGTTACTGGACCTTAAATATGAATGCCAGCTGAGGAGTATATTTAGGAAAAATGAAAAACTAAGACATATAAAAAGTTATTTGGCGTAAATAGTAGTGTTTTTTTTTCACCTTTATGCATTCAGGTAAATCATTGTCCATCTGTATTGCGTGAGACTGCAGATTGAAGTCGAAATATTCATCAATCATCAATAAAAAATACAAGCATTTTTTTTTTTATAATTCTGTTTTCAACGGTAAGAAAAGTTTGTTCCAATGCTTAACACTTAAGTTTCATAGAAAAAAATGCTATGCATTACAGGACGTATAAATACATGGAAATGATGATTGAAAAAAATAAATTTCCCTGAACAACTTTGTGTCATGAAAGAGAGAGACGGAGTTGATAAATTTGTATCAATTCTTGCTTACCTCTGTAAGCAGGCGGCAGGATGCATCTTGATTTGTTGCAACAGAAGCAAGGATGGCTAGGCCAGCTGCAACAGTTGAGGGCCAAAAACATAGTTGTTGATGGCCCAGCAGTGCAAGTATTGCTAGGTATCTGGCCGTCCTCTTCACTTGCTCATTTGCTCTTGCAGCAGTGAGGTAGAACCTGTGGACATAATTAATTGAAGTTCACAATGTGCGTGAGAATTGAAGTTATAGACATCTTAGGAGTTTGGTAATTAAATTTGTACCATAGAAAATTGTAATAGGTGGGTAGGAAGCATTTGAAGTTAAGGACTTCCTGCACCAGCCACTCCATAGCCACCACTTCACTTCTGCCATATGCAGTACTTCCTACATTGAATGTCTTCCTACGCACGCTGAAATGAAATTTCTAGTATGTTAGAGATTGAATGTCCGTGAATTGGTTGACAAGTAAGATCATAATAGGAAAGAAGTTTAACCTGCAGCAGCGTCATAACAATCTTCCTAGTAACTCCTATTACTTGGAATTTAAGTTTCAAATCTAAAGTAAACAGAGGAACATTTATCTGAGGACTGTGTAAAAAGTTAATAGAGACCCTATACTCATGTTATAATATTAGTCCAATATCATATCATTGTGCTGTACAAGCTTTTCTTAATTGAAATACTTCATAAATTCAATACAGATTTTTTTTATTGTGATTAACTTCGTCAGAAACTTGAAACTGCTGATGACACCCAAAACGAAACCACAAAACAGAAAGGAAAAAAGAATGTAATGTGTTATTTGACTATGCTCGTAGGAAATTAGTAAGGACAGGAGAGACAAAGGACTCGAGAAATATTCTTAATCTTTTGGCTAATTAATTTACAACTTGATGACAATTCTGCATTTTAGAACACTCTAAATTCGATAAATCAACTGAAATGAAGATACCGAAATCATATAAGACTGTACAATAATGATGACAGCAATTGCCTACAATTTCGTTGTTTGTCCATACTTTAATCTGTTATATTTCCATGATGCCATATGTTCCTCATTTTCGGAAATTACTAAATATAACCTAATACCTATGGTGACTCTATTTATTGCAAATGAGAGTATGATTATTTCGTCATGTATGTCAATGCATAAGAACAAAATTTACGTAGTTCAATGTGGTTTCTCAATCATCCAATGCAATAAGAAACAATCAAAGGAATAAATTATTACCAGTTGGAAGGCTGATTTTCTTCAATCCTGATAGCTAGCGTGAGGCAGGCAATGCCAACGATCTGAAGATTCCTCTTGTTTGTGAAGTACCCTTTACATAGAAATCGATCAAGAAGGCTGACACCTAAGAACATTGTCTCTTTCTGAAGCTCCTTATTTGTAGCATGCTGTACAAGCACATAATGGGGAACAAATGTATCTGTAAATATCAATACAGAAAATAGAAAAATAGGAAGGCTCTTGATATTGCGAATTTGTCGATTATTTCACTGTCTGAAGGAGAGAGTGATCATTCTAAGACAGTAAAGATCATCAAATCATTACAGAGGAAGCTAAATCATTTCTGCAACATGAGTTGCATTGGTGAATCATGGATGTGCAAACCAGGCAATGCAAAATCTGAAAATGTAACTAACTGTAGATTCTATTGCAAGTGGACTGCAAATTCCAATAGCTTCTTTTACTTCGTTTTGTTTTCTTTACCAAATGAACTGGTATAACATCAAATACTAGAAGGATTATGCTACTTGTACATAAAAATGGTACATAAAGGATTATATAAAATGATGTGGAGGGAAAAGATTTGATAAAAAAGTTTACTATATTTTAAACTGACAAATGCTTTAGATATTTACCCCTTATTAGAATAAATGACGTGAGATGTAGCAAGATCCATACTAGAAATGCTTTAGATATTTAGCTCCGATTAGAATAAATGACGTGAGATAACAAAAATTGCCATGGTGCATCCACTTACATGACTCTGTATTAACTAGAACATGTGAGACTTGACAATGAGACAAAGTTACACTATTAAGGACCAGTAGGCGAAAATAAAACTACAAAGCACCCACAGTCTTGCTTTGTATAGAACGAGCACTTCTCCATTTCTAAAGTCCGTGCAACACACATGCACGTGTCCAAGATAGTGCATCTTCCTCTCTCAGTATACAAATAACAGATTGTAAATCTTGATTTGCTAGAAGCAATTTGCAGAAAATTGATACTGTATCTCATATATAGATTCCTCAAAAGTCACAGCTAACCATTTAGTAGCAGTATAGCAATATGCCGTTCTGGTACAAAATATCCTCTCATAAGTCAAGAGAGATCCGAATAATTTAAGGAAACAATAGGAACTAAAACAATGTCAAATAACTTGAGATGTAAAATGTGGAAGATATTAACTGACCTCAACAATCCAATGAACCATCTGTAGGCGTTGCTGAATGACAAGATGGCCATAGTCAGTGATTGAACAGTATTCCTCTGCATAGTCGAACAGATACACTTGCCGCCTCTCTCTTTCCCTCAGCATCCTGTAGCTCTCTTCATCTTCTTTTTGTTCAAGTCCAAGTAACTTAATTCACAAATAAACCATTTAATCAATTATATTTATGCTAATTGTTCTAAAATTACTGCATAAAATGCAGATTTCCAAGCGCTTGAAATAAACTGAACTCAATCGTAAAAATACCATAATTAAAACTTTATGTAAAAATGTTCTAGAATTAAGATATATCAAACTACAGAAATTTATGCCTTGTTATAGGAAGATTGTACCTCGCTAAAGTCCTTTTTTTTTAGGTAAATCAATCTCAGTATATTTAATTATGTTTAGTTTATCTGGTATAAACGAACATCAATTATCAAAATTACAGAAATCAAAATTCAATACATAGCACACGTAACGTAAATATAAAAATAATAGCCATGTCAGATACAGCTGAGATCCTAGCTAGCATTTAACCACAATTTGTACTCAGACATGTATATATAAATAATATTCAAACATAAAACAATCTAAAAGTATGTCTATAATATTTCAGGAATGAAAAAATAATTTATCAAAACTCACAGCGTCGCGAGAATCATATTTTTCACAGGTTTTAGAAGTACTATCGATGGCAAACGTTGATCTGCGGAACTGTTGTTTAAACTGCTTGAACAAATGAAACATAGGCGAAGTACTCTCATCTTCAATTGACTTTTCTGAAAATTGACTTCCAGAATCGAAAGAAAACAACGGTGTATCATCTGAATATTCGAACTCCATACCGGAAGTCTCCGTGAAAATATCCGACGACTTCTGGTTCTCTTCTTCACCATCCAGAAAGCTGCAGCTCGAGAAATGCTCCGAGCAAGCCAAATTAATGTCAGGTGCAGCGTCTTCCAGAATACTCTTGCTAGCACCTGACTCGCAGCAGTTGGCTGAAACCTCCGAGACAACGCCATCGTTCTTTCCTGCTCCGTTTCCATTGATTTTGATTGAATTTTCCACAGAGTTCAATGAAACGACATCGTTTTCAAGTGAAACCTCAGATTTCTCAGCTCCACGACTCAACACTTTCGTGGACAAATCACCAGAAAAAAATTGAATGTTAGACATTTTTGAAGTGGCCTCGTCTTGAGTAATTTCAACAGAATTATAATTTTTCTTCACTTCCTTGAGAAATGAAAACTGAGGAACACTAGAAACTTCCGATATGGTAATTGCCTCCGAATCCTCACTCTGTATATTTTTTCTCTTCAACTTCAACCCTTTTTTCCTAGAACTTTCAAACACAACAGCTCCAGAAGACGATTCAACGCATGAACTCTCCTGTAACTCCAACTCATCATACTTTCTACTCTCATTTTCCACTTTATTCCTGTAATAAGATCTTGTAAATCTCCGATACTCATCTCCGGCTTCATTTTCAGATTTACGCAAAGGCTTCTTTGGGTTAACTGAGACTTCGCTAGAATCGTACGAGACTTCACTTACTGCTCTGAACTCCGAAATATTGTTCGAAATTGTAGAATAATTTTGAATTATCGGAAAGATCTGTCGTCGGCGGCGGCGAGGGAGCTTCGAACGAAGCTGCTTCTTCCAGAAGTTGAGCGGTTGCGATTCAACTTCAACATCAACTTGCGCTTCAAGCTTGCGCTTCATCCTTGTCTGCATAACAAATGAGGAGCGGTTTCGAATTAGACGTGTTAGATTTTCCGCGTGTGTGACAAAGGGAGGGAAGAGAGAACGTCAGGCAGGCGGTTAAGGAACGTTGAGAGTGAGCTATTTATAGGGTCCGGTTGTGGTGGGGCCACAATGTTCACGTTGATACAGTTCTTTTTCTTCCAACGTGCAAACAATGTACAAGAAATAATTCACTCAGTGCAACACTGCTAATTGTAGTTGTAGTTTAAAAAAATAAAAAATCTATTAAAATAATATTTTTAATCACACATTTTTTAATAAAATAATATCACACATAAACCCAAATTTTCTTCTTCATTTTTACCCACACAATTTTCATTAATATACTATTCCAAAATGCATTCTTAACTAAAAAAGAAAAACAAATGAGCTCAAACATTCTCTAAGTATGTAATAGCTAAAAGTAAGTAATTTATTTTAATTGAAGGANATGCTCTAAATGTGTAATAGCTAAAAGTAAGCAATTTATTTTAATTGAAGAAGGAGATTTAAAAAAGTAACTCCTTATCATAGAGTGAAAGAGTAAGTTATAAACGTGAGATATGGAAACATTGACAAGAATTCAATACCAAGAAAGCATAAGAGTTCATCCACAAGATTCTTCCACTAAAGATGATCCAACAATTTTTGAAATAATAAGTTATTTGACAACTTAAAACTTTTACTTCTTTGCCTCCTAAATCATCAAGCACATTGTCTCTGTTCATTGACATTTGAGTCCTCAAATTGACAAATATTGGCGCGAATGATAATTTCTATATGGAAAATTAATTATTTCCTATCATAATGAGCCTACCACTGTATATTATAAAAATCAAATCGGCCCATATCATTGATAGAGAAAATCGCTTCTTACCAAAAATGCAGGACCAAATATAAGTTAAAACTATTCAATTTTTCAAATTGGGTGAAACTAACAAGTAAGATGATAGGTGTATTTTCTACACTTATTCGAGATTTGAAACTCTAGAATTTTGTTGTCTTTTTGGTAAAATACGACACAAATTATGTTATATTGCATCTTGTAGGTAGACTCAATGTTTGATTAAGAATTGAAGAAAAAATGCAAAAATAGCGAAAAATGGTAAAATTCAAAGTTCGAGGATCAAATTGCAAATACTCAAGAAGATGTTTTGAAAATTGCTAGGAGACAGTTGGATGAAATTAGAATTCAAAAAGGAATGGAACGTGATCAAAGTATTATCAAAATCAATTTTCAATCGCTCAAGATATATTCCAGATTTTTAGCCGAATATTGAGACCCTTTTTTGGCATAGTAAATGTTCAAATTGGAAAAACTCTATTTCAATCAAAGTTGTAGCCCTTTAAGTTATATTTCCAACACACTTTGAATCACATCAATCGGATATCAGAAAAAAAAAGTTATGACTAAAATACGGACTGCTGTGTTGAGACAAAAAATCTGCGCGCGTACCCAACTTTCCTTATTCGATTAGAACTCTTTTGGAAACTAATGTGGACGTGATTTTCAACCAATTTTCGGCTCCTATAAAGATATAACAGCAGAATACATATGAAAGACCTCCTTAGACCTAAAAATCTCTATATTATATATATTTTGGAAGCGAAGAATATGGCAACAACGTGAAATCTAGGCGAATTGCATATGATATTGAAGATTCTTCATCCGGATTCGAGATTCACATCAAGAAAGTGAAAAATTCCTAATTCTTCATTATTTCGTCTTTTCGGGTGATAATTTTCCAATTGTTTCTCTGTAATTTAATTTTACATATGTTATACTAATTTTTTATTGTATTGGATGAATGTTTGAATCCTATTTTCATTTATTTTAATTCAAGATATCAATTTAGGATTTTTGTGTTATTATTTGATTGATTTTACATACTCATCACACTACTTATTGCTTGATCATCAATTAAGTATTTTGTTACTTGTTGTAGTGTAGGAATACTCACAATAAGTTTAGAACGCTGTAAAATCAACATGTGTAGTTAGAATTAAGAATAATCTCTTTCACACATGCAATCTTATTGATAATCTAAACCAAATGTGTGACTTTTATATGAATTCGGACTAGGAATATGATCGTCTCGTGTTAGTCATAGGTCGGTGTATCTTGAAAAAGAATATTTAACATATTAGCTTTATATATTGTCAAAAATGCATGAATTAAATAGAATAATTATTGAAAATTGAAATAAGTGGAAATATGGGGACACATGAATCCAATAGAAGCATTCACATATATAAAATATCATATTTATTTGTTTTTCTAGAGTAGAATTAGAATAAATAACAAATATATCACAATTATATTGATATCATAATACTTCGAAATTAATAGTAACTATTGAACTACAAATTAGACCTTATTCCTCGTGTGAACGATATTTTTAATTCATAAATTTTATTACTTGTACAACGATCCCGTACGCTTGCGGGTTTCACGTGAACATAAGACATGAAAAGAATTATTATACTTGATCTTATATTTCCAATCATATGACACGTACAAACTTATTGACCATTGGTCGGTAGAAGACAAATAATTTTTAACATGATTTTAAAATGTCATAAATCATAATAATGGTGATCACTAAACCCACCTCGTAGTTGTAATGCAATCAAGATTGAGAAAATTTTAAATAGTATAACACAATATGTTCAAGGGAAAAATTCATAAATAAAGTGTTTAGTTTACACCAATTCAAAAATCATGTTTATAATTTGAAAATTCAAAAATTAGGGTTTTTTTTTAATTCTAATATAATATAATATAATAAACATACCCCACATGCACCACCCCTACCGCTTAGGAGATTATTCCAGCGACCATTCCTACTGCCACTCTTCTTCGACGACCATTTTGACGAGTACTCCGATTCCGGCGACTATTCCGACGACCATTCCGACTACTATTCCGGCAATCATTCCGGTCACATATTTATAATTGAATTAGTTACATATTATTTTTCAGTCACAAATACTAATTTTTATACGTCACAGATTTACAGTTTAAGCTCACAACTCAAAAATTTTGTAGGTCACAAATTTCAAAATTAGTTTGTCACTGATCAAAATTTTTATGTCACGGTCACAGATTTCCAAATTAATTATAGGTCACAGGTCACATATTTTAAAATTAATTGATCACAGATTATTTTGAGGTCACAGATAAAAATTTTGTACGTCACATATTATTTCGAGATCACGGATTTTTAAATTAGTTGGTCACAGATTATTTTTGAGTCGCATATTATTAAATTTTTAGGTCACGGTTGAGTAAATTTTCACAGACTACCAAACATTTGGTCACAAGCTACCGTCACTACCACTATGGCCACCACAAATACTTGGTCACAGGTCAACCAAATAATTGGACACAAACGCTATCCCACCACCCACGACCACCCCACCACCATCACCACACCACCAACAGAAACGCACAACCAACGCCATCATCCAACAACCACTGAACAACCACCAACACCACTACCATAAACAAACTGCTAGATCCACCAAACAAACCGCTAGATCCACCCATCAATTCACGACCACTTTTCATCTCAAATAAATTGCTCCACCATCACCGAGCCCACCATCACCGCCAGAACACCTATTCACCGTAAATATGAGCGACCATCACACAAAACATTGCGTCGCACACAAAAATTCACTCACTGCGTCGCACACAAAATTTCACAGCGACCAACACACAACTCGCCGTTGATCTAAGCAATCAACACACAAAAAAATTTCACAGTGACCAACACAGCTCGCTTGCGGCAGCGTCATCAGTACAGCGATGGTAACACCACTGTATCGGAGATTCCTACCAGTGGCGGCGCCGCTTCTGTTGAGAAAGAGGAGACAGTGAGAAAATAAGACCGGTGAGCAGAATCATCACCGCTGTCGGAGATTCTCTTTTAGGGGCGGCGCTGCTACTGTTGAGAGAAAAGAGAGACGGTGGGAAGAGTCTTTCAGGAGCGACGTTGCTACTGTTAAGAGATGAGAGACGGTGGGAAGAGTCGAAGAGAAATCGGTGTTCATTGTTGGTGTTGGGGGAGGGAGGGAGAGAGAGAGAGAGAGAGAGAGAGAGAGAATGGGGATGGAAATTGGGGTTTGGGTGCAAGGGGTAAGGGTAGGGTAGATATATATAATACCTGAATTCTGATTAAAAAAAATTTCCACCTGATTTTTGCACCTTGAAACTTAAACACCTGAATTTTTATGATTTCTCTATGTTCAAGCTCAAACATAGAAGCCCATCTCTAAAGAAGAAGGGGCCGTTAAGGCTACAACTTTAAGCTAAAAGCACTAGAGATGTGGAACGTGAAAACTCTGGGCTTAAACAAGGGAAAATTATATAAATTCAGGGGTTTAGTTTGTCATTTATAAAAGTCGGGTTTTAAGTTTATTTTTGTAAAAATCGGTAGTATATTAAAACCTAATTCTTAACCTAATTTCTCCCCCCATTCCCGTC